AGAGAGAGAGAGAGAGAGAGAGAGAGAGAGAGAGAGAGAGAGAGCACAGAGCCCTTTCACATTATTCAGACAACCCCTGCCGGTACTTCAAAAGGTCCCTGCCAAAAAATTGGCAAGGCTCCCTTCGGCCGGAACGGGGTGGTCATTGGAAGGGTCGTCACTGGACTCGTAGTAAGGAGGGAGTAGGCCAGCTACATATGGTGTAGCTTCGATTTCAGGTCCGTGTTTCAGCAGTTATGGGTTACTGACTTACTAACTCGGCATGTGATTTTGAGGGCTTCACTCCACTACTCACCTAATGTGCAAAATTAGAATGAATCTTCTCCTAGAAACTGGATCCATACTGGCCATACGTTTTTCTTTTCTGCCAGTGCTGATGAGTGGAGCCAGGCCCTTAGGGCCACTGCACGCAAGTAAGAAAAGGAGAAACTAAAAAACGAGACAGCTACTGTATGTGCAAAACAAGAATGAATCTTCTCCTAGAAACGGGAACCATACAAGCCATCCGTTTTTCTTTTCTGCAAGTGCTGATGAGTGGAGCGAGGCCCTTAGGGCCACTGCACGTAAGAAAAGGGGGGGGGAAAAAAAACGAGACAACTACTGGAGTGTTTGTGGTAAGTTGGTAACCCATAACTCTTGGAACACAGACCTGAATCCGAATCTGGGATATATTGCTGGCCTACTCGTAGTCTTCCAGCAGTCCAATGCAGATCCTTCCAAAGGTTATGAAGACCCTGCTAATTGCTTGCAGGGCACTTTTTGGAAAGGAGAATCAAACCAATGAGCAGTACGATGAGGCCCCAAAATATTCTCTTTCTGTGTATTTACCCTTTTTAAAAGGGAGGGACACTTACGGGTACGACGACCTACCGTTTCTTTTTTCTTTTTTTTTTTTCTTTCTAAATGCGCCGCATCACATGCGTGCGCACGTGTGCGCATGTGCGCTGTATGTGCGCTGCGGCGCACGTGTCAACTTGCGTGCACGTGATGCGCCGCAACTATGGTTCAAATCCTGATCGATGCCGTTACCTTAGGGGCTGACCCCCTCTCTAAAAGAGAACACCCATGAGCAACAGGTCTATGGAACCTGTGTGTGAAGTCATGAACCCCTACCAGAGGAGGAGCAAAATTCTTGTAAACATGCCGTTGCTGCGGCGATCATTTAAAGCACACACACACACACACACACACACACACACACACACACACACACACACACAGAGGAGGCGGAGGAGGAAGGAAGAGGACGAGAAGAACAACAACAACAATGAGACAAGAAGAAGAAGAAGAAGGGGGGGTTGGAGGAGGACAAGGACGAAGACAAGGAGGATGAGGAAGAGGAAGAAGAAGAAGAAGAAGAAGAGAAGAAAAAGAAGCCATAGTGACACTAAAGCTCAGGAGAAAAGCAAAAGATGGCGTGTGGCCCAGTGGTTAGGGCACCGGTTCGAAAGGCACATTGTGGCTTAAGGTTGCGGGTTCAAAAACCCGCATCCATGTGGATGGACACCGGCAGACGTTTACATAACGTATACCCATCTGCAAACCCCCCTGGGCTGATGCAGGTAAGCTATTACAGACACTGCTTGCACACCGCCCAGGGGTCCTAGTCCATGGTTGTTGTATGTTGTAGTCCATGGTTGTTGTATGTTGGGATTGGGTTGTGGGATGTTTGCCTGATGCTCTTGGTTCTAGTGGATCTTTGTGTGCGTGCATACTTGGGGATGATTGTTCATTTGCCTTCCAGTCCGACATTGCGCACAAATCGTTCAGTTTCCACAGTAGCTCAGTAGGTTCGATAGTAGATTGCATGGATGAGGTCGTGTGTTCAAAACTCGCTCACGTAGTGGGATGCAGGACCAAGAGACCTACACACCTTCCATAGAATCAGGAGCGGTTGATAAGAGTGAGACTTAGGACAGACTGCGGTCGGTGTTGGCAGGTTTCTTGGGGCAAGATTAGAGTAGGGGGACCCGTTGCTAGCTGGAGATCTCGGGGAGTCAGCCACTACACACGGGAGCACATGTCCCAGTTTCTCGCCGGGAGGGTGAGAGCAGCATGGGATCAGACCAAGACCCAGATTTTGAAAATAAATTGTGACCCCGTCCTCTCTCCAGCACAAAAGCGAAACAAAGAACTGGAACTGACGACCGGGTTTACTGAAACTTGGCTCGGCCAGAGGAGAGCCATGGCAGACCGCCAAGATTCCCAGCTCCAATGGAAAAAACTGGCGGACTCACGAACACAAATGGCCCCTTAAGCCTTACTCCCACTTCGAAATCCCCTTCGCAGCAAACCCCCCCTCTTTTGTCCTCCTCCCGGGATGCTCCGCCATACACGCCTCTGGTTTTCCCCCCGGATGAGCCCGCATGGGCGCCTCCGTTCCCCCCCCAACCGCCCCTCCTGTCTTCTTTTCCCATCGCCCTCCCCCTTCTTCTCATCTCCCTCCTAGCAACCGGGTTCTAGTCCTGAGACGCCGGTGTGGCTGCGACTGCGGGCGATTCGGTGGACCGGCCTCAAGGATGAACAGGGGTCGGAAGAACCTCAAAGGCACGTGGAAGACTCGGGCGGTTCGGCGATCTGGGGTCTACCTTCCATTGAGGGTTAGGGGTTTTACGTTTTCATGGGGTTTAAGGGGTCTAAGGGGTCTAAGGGGATTTCTGCAAAAACACTGATACACATTTCTCCGCTTCTCTATAGAATTTCCCCTTCTCTTCATGTGGGAGGGCGGTTCTCCACAGGAATCCCTTCCACTCAGGGTTTGGGTTTTTTGCGTTTTACACAGGGTGGGGCTGTTTTCCACTGGAATCTTTTCCACTCAGGGTGAGGGGTTTAGGGTTTAGGGTTTACAGTCGATTTTTTCAGGGGGCTGTATCCCCTGATTTTGTATACTGTGAGTGCGTGCTGCTCGTTCTATGTTTCTTATGTTTTTTCGGGGTTACTTCTCTTGCCTTTGCCTTTCGGGAGATGTCTCCCCTCGCCTTCTGTATATCCAGTGCATGCACCCCATTCACTGTAGGTGCAGTTCTCTGTCTACTTGGATGGGGTTTTGGATTTTCGAATTAGGATTACATCCCTCGATCACACCGTGACAATAAATAGGGGAGCTGCAGATTATGGCCGGTCAACAATAAGCTTGCTCCGTAAATGGGATGGGTGTTGCTTGCAGCTCCGTGGGGAATCTAGGAGTCTTCTGCTTCAAATGTCAACTTGACCATGGCCAAGGGAAAACAGCAATGTCTGTGCTGCGAAGATGAGTAAAAAAGATGCTGGTACCAGTCCCCAACAGGAGCCGCTCCCCGCCTGCGAAAAGAGTAGCCAAGCAGTTTCTTAGCCAAGCAGTTTCTCTCTCCATCCTGGCGGTTCTCTCACCACCGTTAGGATGGAGGGCTTACGTAGGCGTGCTGGGCCCTGTTCCTCACCTGGTCCCGCTCCCCCCCGCCTCTCTCGCCTCCGTGGGAGGGTGGTTCTGAACCCGGTTGGGCGGGTGGTGGGCAGCGGCTGGGTAAAGCGAACCATGGCATAGGAAGCGAGATGCTACTAGAGAATGGGACGCTGGACCCAGTTTCCGGCACAGTGCTGTCTCTGTCAACGATGTAAACTTGTAATGATGTATTCAATGAGACGCTGGACCCGGTTTCCAGCAGGTGATGCTACCCACCAATAGATGGAGTGGCCCGCCAGGCAAAGCCTCGATCCCGGTGGTTTTCTCACCGCCACTGGGATGGAGGTGTTGTACAAGGGGCTTTGTTTCAAAAAAAAAAAAAGAAAGGATGAGGGCTCCCCTTAGGACAGCTCGCCCGTGGAATAGGAACGGTTGATGATAGTGAGACTTACTAAATCTACAGTCGATGTCGGTCTGAACTAGGACCCGACAGACTGCCCATGGAATGAGGAACAGTTGATGATAGTGAGACTTGGTACAGTCTATGGCCGGTGCTAGTAGGGATCATCTGTCGGTGGGGCTCTCTACAGGATTGATTGGGTTGCCTGTTCCCTATGTTCGGTGGTTCACTATCAACAAAAACTAGTAATGACAACAGTGTGTTTCTGAGTTTTCCCTTTTCTTCAATTGTTCTTAGCCGAAGCCGGGTACTGGCCCCGGTAGCTCATTTTTGTATTCTGATAAGGGACGGTGGGCCCAGTTCCCAGCCGTGTTGCTCCCCGCAAATAGCTTGAAGGATCGTCTCATTTCAACAAAAAAAAAAAAAAAAAAAAGTTAAAAAAAACAGTGTGCACAGCGAACAACCTAACAACAAAACAACTGTAACGACAGCTGTGTACACAACGATAGGAACGCAAAATAGGTCCACCTATGGGACTTGTAGTGAAATGTCTGTACCTAGCACCTGAAGTACCTGGGCATGCTCTCTCTCTATAATAATTTATTAGACAACCCCAATTTTTAAACTACTAATAATTCATTACCTTTTATTAGCTTTAAAAGTCTCTTTTTAAGATTTTTATAGTTTTTGACTTTTAACTCGAAGTTTGGTTAGGAATTCTGACATGACTCTGAGGCAAAAGTGGTTTGCATTGTTATTCTGCATAGCATACTTTTATTTTTATTTGTTTTAATGGTCCAGACATTTCCGGACCTGTCCAGACATCCGGACCGTCTGGATCCCCCCATGTCCGTAGGTCCGGAAATGTCCGGAATTCCGGCCGTCCGGAAACTACCGGACACGAGTCCGGTTCCATGTCCGGAAATGTCCAGGTCCGGGTCCGGCGTAGCCATGAAAAAAACAGTGTGCACAGCGAACAACCTAACAACAAAACAACAGTAACAAGTTAACAACAGCTGTGTACACAACCATAGGAACGCAAAATAGGTAGGTCCACCTATGGGACTTGTAGTGAAACGTTTGTACCTAGCACCTGAAGTACCTGGGCGACAAGGCTCGCTCAAAAATGCTTCTATCGGGGCTGAGTGGGCCGTGTGGGACTCCACTTAGCCCTCGTACCCGGGAGAAATTACGAAAGAGGTAGGTTGGGACGGAGTCCCATAGGATTAGCGG